GTATCCTTGTACTGCCAGACTGGTGCATGCGTGAGCCAGAGCCTGCGCTTGTGTGCTTGGGTGTGGGATGAAGTTTGATCTCACAGCCAGACAGATTGCAGCACACCTCTGTATCTGGATGTGTGTGTGTGCGTGCCTGCGTGTGTGTGGGATCAAATTTGATCTCACAGCCAAAAGCTGTGCGTGCGTGCGTGCTTGCGTGCATGCGTGCGGGATCAAATTTGATCTCACAGCCAGAACCCATGCTGTGTGCGTGTGGGATCAAATTTGATTTCACCAGTCAAAACCGCATGCATGCGGGCGTGCGGGTGTGCATGCAGGCGTGCGTGGGATCAAAATAGATCTCACAGCCAAAAGCTGTGTGTCTCTGAGTCATGTGACTCTCTCTCATAGGGTTTGCGCGCCTGTATGGCACTGTATGGCGCGCTTTACCGGCTGAGAAAGAGAGCGGCGCGTACGGCACCATATGGCGCGTATGGCGCGCATTTTGTCTGCGCACTTTTACGGCGTAAAATCTTCAAAATCAAGGTCTGCGGACGTCCGGACGCATCTTTTGGCGGGCTGAATCGCTTTTGCGCCGTAAAAGTCTCGGGGCATATATAGGTTAGGTGGACCTCACGCCGTCGAACCTGTAGGGTTTTGGGCGCTGCTTCACCAAATGGCTCTCCTGAGGCCCCTCTAGATGCCTATAACACAAGCACAAAAACCCTATTGGGGAACCCCTTGTAACCCTAACCCTAACCCGTTACGCCGCAGAATTCCCAACTTATACCATTAGGCAGTGAAGATCACTGCGGTGATGCAACACCAAACGCACACGGGATCAAAATCAAAGCTTGGCTCAGTGCATCTTGCTCAGCGGCACCCCGGAGCCACGCGCTCTCACACTTGACCGAGTCCCTTCACAGCTCAGCCCTCGCGGCGCTCTACAAGGATGCCCTCGAGTCGACATCGGTGACGCTTCCGTCACACCTGCAAAAGCAGCGCGCTTGGAATGCGCTCAGTGATTTCACAGGCAATCTGGTCCGAGTCGCCAACTCTTGAGTGGGTTTGATTGCTGCACGTGAAATACGCTACGAGTGATCTCGCTCCAAGAATGCCTCCAGGGCGGCGATGCTCTGCGGGTTTCGGGGTGCGACGTGACAAAAAAATGGTTTTGGGTACGACCCCAAAGAGTCGGTGAATGCACAGGTGTCGATTTGGGGCTCCAGCGCTGATGGCGGAAGCACATCGAAGGCCCACAACGTGCATACCAGCGTGTATTCGAGAGCGCGCGTGGCCAGCTCGTGGCCTGGGCACATCCTTCGACCAAAGCCAAAAGAGAATGGCGTCCTCCGAGCACTGAACTCCGCCTCCCGTCGGAGATCTGATCGAGGCAAATGGCGATCGGGAAGAAATTCATCTGGCCGCACCCACACCTCGGGGTCGTGATAAATTGCATGCGTGTTGCCAAAGACGGTCGTACCCTTTGGTATGCGCCAACCTCTGTACACGTCATCCTTGGTCAGTCGGTGAGGTGCGCCGCTCGCTACAAATGGCCGCCAGCGCATCGCTTCCTGCACGATGGCTTTTGAAAAGGCGAGGCGTGAACCGTCGAGGTCGTGCATAGCCGGAAACGATCCTGCTTCGATGCAATCGTCTATTTCTTTTTGCGCGCGACGGGCGTAGACTGGGTATAGAGCGAGTGCCATCAAGATGACGAGCATGGCCTGCGCCGTGGTTTCGCTGCCCGCGCCATACATGGAGCCAGCGAGGTAAGCGATCTGATCTCGCGTCAGGCTATACTTTTTCCCGAGTTCGATCGCCTGCTGAGCTACCCTACCGCTCTTTTGCTCCTCGGGGAGCAGCTCCAGCCGCTCCAGCTGTTTTCGAAACAGGCCAATCTCGGCGTCGAAGCACGCCTTGGCCGCGCGTCCCCAGGGTGACAAGATGCGAGGGATGTGCGCAAGGAATGGATAGCGATCCACAGCTGTGCGAGTGCCGGCGAGTCTGAAGAAGCGCTCATTGCACTCGTTGATGGTCTTGAGATCCTCATCCTGGAGCGAGCTCACTGCCCGTCCATACACGATCCGCATGATCAATGAAGCAGCAAATTTTTGACACAACAGAAAGTGTGTCGGCGTCTTGTTCTGCTCCTCGACGCCATGGCTGTGCTTGGGTGCGTCGTTTGCGATGGATAGGCCCTTGTGAGCATCGAGATAGCCGCGCAGCAGCAGCTTCGTCTCGGCTGTGATTGCGCCTTCGTACCCGCGTACGGCCTTTGACGAGAAGGCTGGCGTCAGGACCCTACGATGCTGTCGAAAGAGGGGCCCATGGGGCGCAAAGGTGATGCCAAGCTCTTCGGAGGCCATTTGCCAGGCCATGACCAACCTTGGCCGGCACGAGTAGATGTCCGCCCTGCGATCCAGTAGTTCCACCGCAGCTTTGGCAGAGTTGAGTACCACTTGCACCTCTGAGCCATCCGCGACGCGGAATACATCACCTGGACGATGGAGGTCCATGTTGAGAAGGCGTGCGTGACATTACGAAGCAGGCGCACATGATGCTCACCGTACTTTTTGCTGGCCTCGGCCCATGCTCTCCACCTGTAGGGAACGTTTCGATGGGAAAGCTCCTCTACGATGGGCGGCAGGTCTCCATCACGCTTGAGCGCGGTCAAGGACACCGGAGCGGTGGCAAGCAGGATCGCAGCTACAATGGCGATTGGCAATCCTGCTATGAACATGGCGCTGATGCTAACCAATGAAAGAATAGGCTGCTCCCAGCGTAAAAGTATCCCGGCCATCGCGCTGGGAGTGCAAGAGGGAGGAAAGCGCTTTGACAGGTGCGGGCTACAATCCAGCTTGGCCGATTTCAATTCTCGTCCGCGACGGCAGGTGCGGTGTCGACGATCGATGCGAGGATGGTCGTCAGGTGGACGCAGGTTGCGCAGGGTTTGTCAGAGTCCGCGTTTGATTCACACGCATCGAGACGTGTACGCCGGACGGGATCGACACACGCACCTCGTCTCGCACACATTTGTTCCACGATTGGCCGTGGCCCTTGACGCGCCTGCGCCCGCGCCCGCGCCCGCGCCCTTTTAAACCGATCGACGCCGATCTGCATCTGCCTTTTCTCGCCGTAAACGTTTGGCGGAGCGCGAAACATGCAAACTCCGGCAAACTCACCTACTACAGCGGCACACGTACTCACCACTCGATTCACCCAGTCACACACAGTTCACCACTCGTGACTCGCTGTAGCTGCAACGTGCACCATGTCATGCAGCAGCTGCATTGACGCCGCGCGCTGCATGGCTCCCGCACGGTGCCTGCATGCATATTTGCAGCTTCAGCTTACCCTATGCGCGTCCCACCGCATGAACCTCGCGGTCTACAGCTGCGCGCATGCAAAAGTCAGTCGGCAAGCGGAGCGCGCCGAGGGTGCCTGCAGCTACTACTACTACTACTGTAGGTCCCTTGCCGCTGCAACCGTTGCTGATGCTGCTTGCATGCCCAGCTTTTGCAAATCACGAATCACGAATCTTGAATGTCAATTGAATGTTTCTCATCGGAATGCGAATCACTGAATCACTGAGTCACGAATGGTGAGACCATCTCGGATCAACGCAGACATGCATTTGGTGACGTGAGTGACCATCGGTGGGTCAAATCGGCGGCTCACCTGTTGGGCTTGCCATCCACATCCACATCCACATCCACATCCATTGCACCACCACCACCACCACCTGTCTTGCCATCATCCCCCCAACCATTCACCCCAACATCGCTCGGCAATGGCGCAGACCATGACATCGCCAAGCGTCGCCTCCGCTCTGCGCGAGCATCAGGCATCTCGCTCTTTTCGACAGCGCCCAGCCAACGTCACGCCGTTGGTGCTGCACGCCGAGGATCGCGATCGCGATCGCGTCGGCAGAGAGGCTTGGCTTCGATCGCCTCGCTCTCGCATCTCTGTACCCCGATCCCTGCCACCGACGCCCTTGTCTTGCAACACATCCTCTACGCATCCACATGCTTCATCACCAACACCCTCTCACCTCCAATCTCCAGGCTCCACGTCAGGATTCGACTTTTGGTGGGAGCAGATCGGGAGCAAGGTGATGCGCATGCTGCATGATGCCGAATACTCCGTCGAAGCGAGGGCAAGGCACGAGCTGCTTTTGCGCAAACACATCATACCGGCTCTTGGCGCAGCACCCCATCACCAGTCTGCGGCCACCGACTGCAAGCACTCTGCAGTGAGCGCAGCAGCAGTCACGCGCTTCGGCGCTCCCATTCCTCGCTTCGACAGCTTCATGTGCGACGATGCTACACCGGTAGAGCTGGGATTGACCTGGGTGAATGGCAAACCGAACGTTCGCATCGCCATCGAGCCGCTGGACGAAGAGCAAGAACTTTTGGCATCAAACGGATCGCTCAACTACCGAGCTACTTGGCGGCTCATACACAAGCTCGAAGAAGATGGTCTCGGTGATTTTGCTCTCTTCAAAACGATGACTGCAGAAGCGACAACCTCTTCGGTGCAAGAAGCGGTCGCGATGAGACCGTTGGACCAGATCGAGCATCACGGCAATCCGCAAGGCGAGGTTGCAAGTCAATTCTTCATTGGATGGGATCTCGGACATGACGGGTCCGCCATGATCAAAGCGTACATCATGCCAAGCGCTCGAGCAAGTGAGCTCGGCGTTTCGAATGTGACCGTCGCAGATGCTGCGCTGCAAGCTGCAGGGCTGCGCACTTGTCCAGCCTGGCAAACGTTGCGCTCCTACGTGACTGGCGCTGCGAATGCGAACGTGGATGCAGGATTGACAGCCTCGGAACGCCCAGAAGTGGTGATCCTAAGCGTCGACTGCCTTGCTCCCGTCGCAGTGCGAGCTGGCCAAGTGCCGCGCCTCAAAGTCTATCTCAGGTATCCCACCACCGACTTTGACCAGATCGTGCGACACTTGACCATGGGTAGACGATGCGTCGACACCGGCTCTCCGACGCTGTGGCGGCACGTCCTATCTCGTGCGTGGCGCCATCTGTTTGATCGGGACAGCGATTCGCAGCCAGAACTCGATTCGACATCAGCCCTCGATCTGACAGGCGGCACTTTGCTGTACGCTGACTTTGGCGCGCGCCCCCAGTCAGAGGCGCTCACTTCCAAAGTCTACTTGCCCGTGCGCTTCGCCGCTGCGAGCGACGAAAAAGTTGCGGATGGAATCGAGCGGCTGATCCACTGCAACGACGTCGAAAAGGGTCGATATGCCGCTCAGATCGCAGCCCTGACTGGACGTTCTATGCGCAACAAGGGCATTCACAACTACGTCGCCCTCGGTCAGAAGAAAGATGGAAGGATAGATGTGTGCTCCTACATCAATCCGCAAACTTTTACCGCTCGAT